TTTTGGCCCCGCCCCTCAGGCCCCTGGGGGCGTAGGACTAAACCGGCAACTATTTTTGTTGACCTTTGTCCATGGAAGGTCCCTGCAAAATTTCATTGCAATTGGTTCAGGGGTTTTGGAGAAGAAGATTTTTGAAATTTTAGTCAATTTGACCCCTTTTGGCCCCGCCCCTCAGGCCCCTGGGGGCGTAGGACTAAACCGGCAACTATTTTTGTTGACCTTTGTACATGGAAGGTCCCTGCAAAATTTCATTGAAATTGGTTCAGGGGTTTTGGAGAAGAAGTCGAAAATGTAAATTGTTTACGGACGCACGACGGACGACGAACGACGGACAAAAGGCGATCGCAATAGGTCACTTGAGACTTTGTCTCAGGTGACCTAAAAACTTGCCCAAAAAACTTTAACATCAAGCTTACCCAAAAACATTAATCAAATCCAATAAACCTGTTTTTGGCCCCTAAAATATGAAAATATTGTCCAGAACATTGCTAACACTCCATATAAATACTTCAACCTTATATAACCCTATTGTAATAGACAACTGCCTTTTAGTGGTGGTTGTCCAACACTTCACTAAATAGAAAATGTCTGTAAGACATAAATGCCCCGGATGCCATGTGAAATTAGTTTTAGTGTTCTATAAAAAGTTACAACCACTTTGATCTTGATACCCTGAAACATGCACACACACAAGGTACTTCACTTAAAATTGATTCTAATATTCAAATGTTTGTTCTGTATGTTATTACCATCGCCATAACATAATGAATGAAGTTGCTAAGTGTTTAAATTGAATCAGTAGATGATTTTCTATATATAGCGACAGTGACCTTGGCCTTGACCTTGGAACCCTGAAACACAAGAATGTCAGAAGTATACTCATACTTGACCTTTGCATAAAGTTTGACCAAAATCCATTAAAGAACGAAGTTGTTAAGTGTTCAAATTGAATCAGTTGATGATTTTCTACATATAGCAAGTGAGACCTTGGCCTTGACCTTGGATCCCTGAAATACAACGATGTCCGAAGTATACCCATACTTAACCTTTGTATAAAGTTTGACCAAAATCTGTCAAAGAATGAAGTTGCTAAGTGTTTACATTGAATCGGGACGGGACGGGACAATTTTCTATATATAGCAAGTGTGACCTTGGTCTTGACCTTGGATCCCTGAAATACAACGATGTCCGAAGTATACTCATACTTGACCTTTGTATAAAGTTTGACCAAAATCTGTCAAAGAATGAAGTTGCTAAGTGTTTACATTGAATCGGGACTGGACAGGACAATTTTCTATATATAGCAAGTGTGACCTTGGTCTTGACCTTGGATCCCTGAAATACAACGATGTCCGAAGTATACTCATACTTGACCTTTGTATAAAGTTTGACCAAAATCTGTCAAAGAATGAAGTTGCTAAGTGTTTACATTGAATCGGGACTGGACAGGACGGGACGGACATGGGTAACACTATATGCCCCCCCATTTTATAAAAACTTAGTCCAATTAAGCTGTTTATGTTTATGTAAAATGTGAAAATATGGTCCAACACAATATAACTCATAATAGACAACTGTGTATTGAGTGTGATGTTCAAACACTTGCCCAAAAACTTTAACCTCCAAAGGTGGGACGCCGATGTCGGGGTGACTACATAAGCCCCCCTATTCTTCGAACAGGCGAGCTAAAAATAGATATCTGCTCCAAATCTTACAACACCAATACATAAAGCAACAACTCTGGTATGTAATACATACCCAGGTAATGGCTGACAGGGGACGTTGCCTTGGTAACTACTCGGTTAAATATATGCTCCAAAATATCCACTCTGACCATCTCATGTGCCTGTCAAATAGAACATCAACAGTAACTCACTCCTTCTAGCTTTGTTCTTGGGTTTCTTTTGAAAATCGGTGTTCTGACTCACAATATTCATTTATACAGTCAAAGATCAAAAAATCATTACACCTAATTTCTAAAACATTACCAAGTCTACATGTCATTCAAGTAAAGTTTTTGATTTTGAAGTTGTGATCCTGAGATGCTTACATACAGTAATGAACCTCAGATACTTGGCTGCTATGCCTCTATCATACAATATTTCACTTTATATCTTGAAACCCAGTGAAACATTTACCCTTCACCAGTAAAATCCATACATGCTATGTAATGCTATTCACTGTCATGAAAAATATTGTGCGGTATATATAAAGGACTGATAGTTACACAGTACAGCAAACCTTTCTTGGAACACAGTGTAATATACATAAACAAGAGACCCAGAGGGCCTGTATCGCTCACCTGGATAATAAAGCAACCATGGGAAATTATTCTTATTACATAAAACCCTCCAAGGGGACAGATTTTTTTTTTTATTTAAACCACTATTGGGCCCTGCAACTCTCAGATTTAGTCCCCTTTGCCCATTGAAGCTATAGGTAAAATTGGGATAAAATCCCTTAATTTCTATGGTAGAAGAAGGAATAAAAAGATTTTTACCTCTATTTCCCCTATTGGGCCCCGTAACTCTGTCCATAGGGGATCCAATCCACCTTTTATATAAAACTGAGTCCCCTTGGCCCAAGCATCCTCCAGACAAAATTGGGGTGAAATCCCTTAATTCCTATTGTAGAAGAAGGATTTCAAAGATTTTTACCTTTATTTCACCTATCAGGCTCTGCCCCCAGGAGGGCCGCGTCTTCCATTTATACAAAATTGAGTCCCCTTGCTCCAAGGATGCTCCAGACCAAATTAGGATAAAATCCCTTCATCCCTACGATAGAAGAAGGATTCTAATGGTTTTAACGCTATTTCCCCTATTCGGCCCCACACCTCTGCCCCCAGGGGGGCCACACCCACCGTTTAAACAAAATTGAGTTCCCTTGGCCCAAGGATGCTCCAGACTAAATTAGGATAAAATCCCTTAATCCCTACGGTAGAAGAAGGAATTTAAAGGTTTTTACCTTTATTTTCCCTATTGGGCCCAGCAACCCTGACCCCAGGGGGTCCAATCCACCATTTATACAACACTAAGTCCCCTTGGCCCAAGCATGCTCTAGACAAAATTGAGATGAAATCTCTTAATCCCTATTGTAACAAAAGGATTTCAAAGGTTTTTAACTCTATTTCTCCTATTGGGCTCTGCCCCCAGGAGGGCCATGCCTACCATTTATACAAAATCAAGTCCCCTTGGCCCAAGGATGCTCCAGACCAAATTTAGTCAAAATCAACTGGGCTGTTCAGGACAAGCAGTGTTTTAAGGGAAAAGTTGACGGATGGACGACAACAGACGATGGACGCTGTACGACATATGGTACGATATGACGACAATATGGTCCTTCGAACCAGGTGAACTAACAATATACAATAGTATTAAAGCATCTTTTTTATACAACATTAAGTACCCTTAACCACAGGATCCTTTTTAAGATTTAGTTACAATCATATTACCTATACTTAAAAAGCAGACATTTAAATATTTATCTCAATTTCCACTACTTAGCCCCTGCCCTTTGTTTTTATGACCAACAAATCTGACTTACTTTCCAAGAGATGCTTCAGTAGAAATTACAGTAAAATCCCTACACTGACGTAGCCATCTAAATAAATATTTGCCTTTAAGACCCATCCCTTTTCTCCATCATACCAAACTCTCTGTTCATTGAATTTTCTTAGTCCAAGGATGCTTCTGACCGAATTTGATTAATTTCCTTTTATAGGTACTTGAAGTAGTGGTATTTCAAATATTTCCTCTGTTGAGCCCTGTCCCTCTTTCCCCAAGGAGGCAACATCTTTCCTTTATACAACTCCCTGGGATGCAAAACCATTCGTTTATATACTTTCTTTTTCTCTTGGCCCAGGGATAATCCATGCCAAATTCAGTCAAAATCCTTTCAGCCATTCTGCCAAAAGGGCAGATGGCAATGAGTTTAAGACACAAAGCCCCGACAAAAGTTCACTTGGCAAACGTTTAGGCAATGATGGTGTATATTTTACCTTGAAGGTATGGAGCAATATTTTGCTGCCCAGCTGGCAAGCGCGATGGGAGGGTGTATTTGAGGGCACATTGGTTGTATCCTCCAGTCTTCCAAAAGCTGCAGCTTTTGGCCCAAAGGAGTCCATCAACACAAAACCTAGCTGTACCAATCCATGTATCACATGGTCCCAGCCATATACACTGCAAAATCAAAAACAAACACACTTCAACATACACAGTACAACCAAACACACCATATTATATCATATAAACACTATGCAATCAAACCCAAACAGCTTCAACATACAACCAAGATACACTTTACTCATGATTCAATATGTATTTCAATATCAATTCTATGATACAAACATTTTCACTTCAGTTTCCATATATACACTATAATGAAAAATGTAAATTTTGATTTTAAAGACTATCATGATTCAAAGGGCTCCAGAATTGTTTTTACTAAGTTTGGGTCACAATTATGAAAACTGATGTTCACCAAATATTTCTGGCTCTCTGCACATCTGATGTTTCCTTTCTTCAATTTTCTTTACCTTTTTATGGGTGGTTTATCAACTTTTCTATTTAAAGAGTATGTGTTCAAACTCTATATTTGGAGGTTTGCCTGGATATCTTTATAACAGACAGTCTGCCATGAATGTTCCGTGTTTTCTTATCACTGATTTATTATTAGTGCAGAGACCAGCCAATTACATTGTCCCATCAACACTTAAGCCAAAACATAACATGAGGCCCAGAGGGCCCGTATCGCTCACCTGGATAATAAAGAAACCATGGAAAATTATTCTTATTACATATAATACTGCAACTATTTCCAAACATTGGCTGTCTCTCAGTAACACCTGTCCCTCCCCTCATTAGGTTCCTTCTTTCTGCTTCCATGAAATGGGGTGGATTTTAAACATTAACCTCAATTTCCCCTATTGGGCCCCAACCTTCTGTCCCCTAAAAGAAAACCCTCCGTTTATAAAAAATTTGTGCCCTGGACCAAATTTGGTTAAAATAACTCCAATCGTACTGAAGGAAAAGGACTTTAAAGATTACCCTCAATTAATCCTATTGGGCCCAGCTCTACTGCCTCNCAAGCATTGGCTATTAATGAAAACAACAACTGCAAGTGCTATGTCCAAACAGCAAATTTCATACCAAATTTATGAACCCGCATAACTCGAATACTCTTCCAAGACCCCGTCGACTTCGAGATACCGAGGTTCGACTGTATTTGCATGAATGCTGTATAATGAAAAGTTTTTGATTTATGGCCATTTTTAGATTTTCACCTATGACGTCATGGCGACCATATTGGAATTGTAACCGACTTGAAAAAAATGCATGCACACCTTTGAACCTTTGCCTACAATATACTTGAAAGACTATTAACACATCTGGTACCAATCAAAGGATTAGCTGCATACAAGATCATGGTAGAATAATAATAAGAAGAAGAAGAAGAAGAAGAAACATAACAAAAACAATAGGTCATTTCACAAAAAGTGAAAAGCCCTAATAATGCTCTGAGGTACCACGTCTCTCACCCACACTGATAATACAACCTACCTAGTCTGTACAGTGTCCTGTACCAGATCCTGTATACATCAGCTCTGAGGTACCATCTCTCTCACCCACACTCTCTCTCACCCACACTGATAATTCAACCTACCTAGTCTGTACAGCGTGATAATACAACCTACCTAGTCTGACAAGTGTCCAGTACCAGATCTTGATCCGACAGCTCTGAGGGACCACCCCTCTCACCCACACTGATAATAAAACCTCCCTAGTCTGTACAGTGTCCAGTACCAGATCCTGTATACATCAGCCACACTGATAATACAACCTACCTAGTCTGTACAGTCTCCAGTACAAGATCCTGTATACGATAGCTCTGAGGGACCACCTCTCTCACCCACACTGATAATACAACCTACCTAGTCTGAACAGTGTCCAGTACCAGATCTTGATACGACAGCTCTGAGGGACCACCTCTCTCACCCACACTGATAATACAACCTACCTAGTCTGTACAGTCTCCAGTACCAGATCCTGTATACATCAGCTCTGAGGTACCACCTCTCTTACCCACGCTGATAATACAACCTACCTAGTCTGTACAGTCTCCAGTACCAGATCTTGATACGACAGCTCTGAGGGACCACCTCTCTAACCCACACTGATAATACAACCTACCTAGTCTGTACAGTCTCCAGTACCAGATCTTGATACGACAGCTCTGAGGGACCACCTCTCTAACCCACACTGATAATACAACCTACCTAGTCTGTACAGTGTCCAGTAGCAGATCCTGTATACGACAGCTCTGAGGTACCATCTCTATCACCCACACTGATAATACGACCTACCTGTTCTGTACAGTGTCCAGTACCAGATCCAGTATACATCAGCTCTGAGGTACCACCTCTCTCACCCACACTGATAATACAACCTACCTAGTCTGAACAGTGTCCAGTAGCAGATCTTGATACGACAGCTCTGAGGGACCACCTCTCTAACCCACACTGATAATACAACCTACCTAGTCTGTACAGCGTCCACTGATAATACAACCTACCTGTTCTGTACAGTGTCCAGTACCAGATCCAGTATACATCAGCTCTGAGGTACCACCTCTCTCACCCACACTGATAATACAACCTTCCTAGTCTGTACAGTGTCCAGTACCAGATCCTGCATACATCAGCTCTGAGGTACCACCTCTCTTACCCACACTGATAATACAACCTACCTAGTCTGTACAGCATTCAGTACCAGATCCTGTATACATCAGCTCTGAGGAACCACCTCTCTTACCCACGCTGATAATACAACCTACCTAGCCTGTACAGTCTCCAGTACCAGATCCTGTATACGTCAGCTCTGAGGTACCACCTCTCTCACCCACACTGATAATACAACCTTCCTAGTCTGTACAGCATTCAGTACCAGATCCTGTATACATCAGCTCTGAGGTACCATCTCTCTACAACCTACCTGTTCTGTACAGTGTCCAGTACCAGATCCTGTATACGACAGCTCTGAGGTACCATCTCTATCACCCACACTGATAATACAACCTACCTGTTCTGTACAGTGTCCAGTACCAGATCCTGTATACATCAGCTCTGAGGTACCACCTCTCTCACCCACACTGATAATACAACCTACCTAGTCTGTACAGCGTCCAGTACCAGATCCTGTATACGACAGCTCTGAGGGACCACCTCTCTCACCCACACTGATAATACAACCTACCTAGTCTGTACAGTGTCCAGTACCAGATCCTGTATACGACAGCTCTGAGGGACCACCTCTCTCACCCACACTGATAATACAACCTACCTAGTCTGTACAGTGTCCAGTACCAGATCCTGTATACGACAGCTCTGAGGGACCACCTCTCTCACCCACACTGATAATACAACCTACCTAGTCTGTACAGTGTCCAGTACCAGATCCTGTATACGACAGCTCTGAGGGACCACCTCTCTCACCCACACTGATAATACAACCTACCTAGTCTGTACAGTGTCCAGTACCAGATCCTGTATACGACAGCTCTGAGGGACCACCTCTCTCACCCACACTGATAATACAAACTACCTAGCCTGTACAGCGTCCAGTACCAGATCTTGTATACGACAGCTCTGAGGGACCACCTCTCTCACCCACACTGATAATACAAACTACCTAGCCTGTACAGCGTCCAGTACCAGATCCTGTATACGACAGCTCTGAGGGACCACCTCTCTCACCCACACTGATAATACAACCTACCTAGTCTGTACAGTGTCCAGTACCAGATCCTGTATACGACAGCTCTGAGGGACCACCTCTCTCACCCACACTGATAATACAACCTACCTAGTCTGTACAGTGTCCAGTACCAGATCCTGTATACGACAGCTCTGAGGGACCACCTCTCTCACCCACACTGATAATACAACCTACCTAGTCTGTACAGTGTCCAGTACCAGATCCTGTATACGACAGCTCTGAGGGACCACCTCTCTCACCCACACTGATAATACAACCTACCTAGTCTGTACAGTGTCCAGTACCAGATCCTGTATACGACAGCTCTGAGGGACCACCTCTCTCACCCACACTGATAATACAACCTACCTAGTCTGTACAGTGTCCAGTACCAGATCCTGTATACGACAGCTCTGAGGGACCACCTCTCTCACCCACACTGATAATACAACCTACCTAGTCTGTACAGTGTCCAGTACCAGATCCTGTATACGACAGCTCTGAGGGACCACCTCTCTCACCCACACTGATAATACAACCTACCTAGTCTGTACAGTGTCCAGTACCAGATCCTGTATACGACAGCTCTGAGGGACCACCTCTCTCACCCACACTGATAATACAAACTACCTAGCCTGTACAGTGTCCAGTACCAGATCCTGTATACGACAGCTCTGAGGTACCACCTCTCTCACCCACACTGATAATACAACCTACCTAGTCTGTACAGTGTCCAGTACCAGATCCTGTATACGACAGCTCTGAGGGACCACCTCTCTCACCCACACTGATAATACAAACTACCTAGCCTGTACAGCGTCCAGTACCAGATCCTGTATACGACAGCTCTGAGGGACCACCTCTCTCACCCACACTGATAATACAAACTACCTAGCCTGTACAGTGTCCAGTACCAGATCCTGTATACATCAGCTCTGAGGTACCACCTCTCTCACCCACACTGATAATACAACCTACCTAGTCTGTACAGTGTCCAGTACCAGATCCTGTATACGACAGCTCTGAGGGACCACCTCTCTCACCCACACTGATAATACAAACTACCTAGCCTGTACAGTGTCCAGTACCAGATCCTGTATACATCAGCTCTGAGGTACCACCTCTCTCACCCACACTGATAATACAACCTACCTAGTCTGTACAGTCTCCAGTACCAGATCCTGTATACGACAGCTCTGAGGGACCACCTCTCTCACCCACACTGATAATACAACCTACCTAGTCTGTACAGTGTCCAGTACCAGATCTTGTATACGACAGCTCTGAGGTACTATCTCTCTCACCAACACTGATAATACAACCTACCTAGTCTGTACAGCGTCCTGTATACAACAGCTCTGAGGGACCACCTCTCTCACCCAAGCTGATAATACAACCTACCTAGTCTGTACAGTGTCCAGTACCAGATCCTGTATACGACAGCTCCGAGGTACCACCTCTCACATCCACACTGATAATTATAGATTATCATACTGTATTTTCAGGGTTTGTTGTGAGAACAATTTTCTCATCGCAAGGATGGGGATGGTCTCAAGAATTTATCTACGTGCAAGCGATGAGAAAATTGTTCTCACAACAAACACTGAAAATACTGTATGATAAACTATTTATCATCCATATACATGTTCTACTACCTTATATATTTCTCCATTTAAAAAACTCAACTAAACACCATGTTTTCCAAATGACTTCTAAGCTCAATGGTCAATGATCGCCTGTGACAAACGTAAACAAATTTTGTGCAGAGGAATACAATGAACCTTAAATCTATGTAAAAAATATATTTTTGAAACAATCCTATAGTCATTGGCTTTCATATGCACATCTACACCTGAAATCGTGTTGTTATTCTCACAACATTTTTCTGTAACTCTATATTGATAATTAAACGACGGATCACTTTTGTGTGAACACTATTTCCGGTTTCGGACGTCATCTGGCGCGAGCAGACATTCTTTTTTGAGAAAATACGTTCCCATTCTAAGGGAATGGGAAAATTCGTTCTCAAGTTCTTCTCAAGTCGTTCTCAACTTCTTCTCAAATTGACAACCAATGATCATGAATTAATCATGCTACCAGTATGTGGTATAAAGTAGTACATTGTATATAGATGATATTACAACCTACCTGTTCTGTACAGTCTCCAGTACCAGATCCTGTATACGACAGCTCTGAGGGACCACCTCTCTCACCCATGCAGATTGATCCTGTTTATCACAGTCCTTAAAACTTTTTAAAATTGTCACCTTAAGGAAGTCAAATACCTGTAGAAAACAGAAATACAATCGTGATTCAGGAATGTGATTTAGCATTTGTAGGATGTTTTGTATTGATGAACCTGTGTGTGGATTAAAACCTCAGCTCTGAGATAGATTCAGGAACGATGAGCAGGTTAATCTGGGCTGAGGCTGTTCACCTCAGCTGGTACACCTTTGATGGCCACCGTGTCACAAACACCAACAAAATCAAGTATACACTTGGTGATAGAACTGAAACCAGTTTTCTATGTACATTTGAAATATGCGAAAGATTTATCTACACTCTCTCTGGATTCTGATTATATTTTCTTTATCTCTAAATGCCTCTATATTATTAACATGTATCTCAAGTAGGCACAGTAGTCTATTGGTAGTACGTGGGCTCCTGACCGAAGGGTTGCGGGTTCGAGTCAAGACACGACACTGTGTTGATTCTTTGAGCAAGATACTTTACTCTGCTTGTTCCAGTCTACTCAGCTGTACGTGATTACGTGGTTGGGCAGAGCTAGACATGTAGAATGCTAACTGTGAGCGTCAAAATGGCAGCACTAGCTGTATGCTCCCCAGGGAGTTGAGAAAGATATTAGCAGGTTGCAAAAGCCCTATAACCACAGATAATAATTTGTGAACCGCTTTGAGACGACCTATGAAATAGGTTGTGAAAAAGCAGGTTGACTGAACAAATTTATTGCTGATTATTTATTACCAGGACTGACGTATTAAGAATGATCTAGAAGTCATATTTAATTTGAACTTGTAAGTCAATTTTACAGTTGTGAAATAGTTATTTTTTCAATATTGAATTTTAAATTGATGGCTTGATTTGAAAAAAATTACCTTGATACTTATATTTTCTGCATTTAACATGATTTGTCATTATGCTACATAATTTAGTTACTTAATAATATAAACTTATGGAAAAGGAATATGCTTACTATCAATTTACATGTTACAATGTTACACAGTAAAAAATTACCTGGTCCTCGAATCTGTGAATACAGGACAGTGATAGAGCCAGGGCTAGATTGAATGGGGCCAACACCTGTGTAGTACAACCCTGTTGTTGACTCTGTAATATCAAATCACACAGTTACATAGGGGCAAAAACCTGTGTAGTACAACCCTGCTGTCGACCCTGTAACATCAAATCACACTGTTATATTGTAGTACAACCCTGTTGTTGACTCTGTAATATCAAATCACACAGTTACGTAGGGGCAAAAACCTGTGTAGTACAACCCTGCTGTTGACCCTGTAACATCAAATCACACGGTTATATTGGGGCCAACACCTGTGTAGTACAACCCTGCTGTCAACTCTGTAACATCAAATCACACAGTTACATTGGGGCAACACCTGTGTAGTACAACCCTGCTGTCAACTCTGTAACATCAAATCATACAGTTACATTGGGGCAACACCTGTGTAGTACAACCCTGCTGTCGACCCTGTAACATCAAATCACACGGTTATATTGGGGCCAACACCTGTGTAGTACAACTCTGCTGTCGACCCTGTAACATTAAATCACAGTTATATTGGGGCCAACACCTGTGTAGTACAACCCTGATGTCGGCCCTGAAACATCAAATCACACAGTTACATTGGGGCAACACCTGTGTAGAACAACCCTGCTGTCGACCCTGTAACATCAAATCACACTGTTATATTGGGTCCAACACCTGTGTAGTACAACCCTGCTGTCGACCCTGTCACATCAAATCACACTGTTATATTGGGGCCAACACCAGTGTAGGACAACCCTGCTGTCGACCCTGTAACACCAAATCACACTGTTATATTGGGTCCAACACCTGTGTAGTACAACCCTGCTGTCGACTCTGTAACATCAAATCACACTGTTATATTGGGTCCAACACCTGTGTAGTACAACCCTGCTGTCGACTCTGTAACATCAAATCACACAGTTACATTGGGGCAACACCTGTGTAGTACAACCCTGCTGTCAACTCTGTAACATCAAATCACCCAGTTACATAGGGGCCAACACCTGTGTAGGACAGCCCTGCTGTCGACCCTGTAACATCAAATCACACGGTTATATTGGGGCCAACACCTGTGTAGTACAACTCTGCTGTCGACCCTGTAACATTAAATCACAGTTATATTGGGGCCAACACCTGTGTAGTACAACTCTGCTGTCGACCCTGTAACATTAAATCACAGTTATATTGGGGCCAACACCTGTGTAGTACACCCCTGATGTCGGCCCTGAAACATCAAATCACACAGTTACATTGGGGCAACACCTGTCTAGAACAACCCTGCTGTCGACCCTGTAACATCAAATCACTCGGTTATATTGGGGCCAACACCTGTGTAGTACAACTCTGCTGTCGACCCTGTAACATTAAATCACAGTTATATTGGGGCCAACACCTGTGTAGTACACCCCTGATGTCGGCCCTGAAACATCAAATCACACAGTTACATTAGGGCAACACCTGTGTAGAACAACCCTGCTGTCGACCCTGTAACATCAAATCACTCGGTTATATTGGGGCCAACACCTGTGTAGTACAACTCTGCTGTCGACCCTGTAACATTAAATCACAGTTATATTGGGGCCAACACCTGTGTAGTACAACCCTGCTGTCGGCCCTGTAACATCAAATCACACGGTTATATTGGGGCCAACACCTGTGTAGGACAACCCTGCTGTCAACTCTGTAACATCAAAACACACAGTTACATAGGGGCCAACACCTGTGTAGTACAACCCTGCTGTTGACCCTGTAACATCAAATCACACTGTTACATTGGGGCCAACACCTGTGTTGTACAACCCTGCTGTCGACCCTGTAACATCAAATCCCACTGTTATATTGGGGCCAACACCTGTGTAGTACAACCCTGATGTCGGCCCTGAAACATCAAATCACACAGTTACATTGGGGCAACACCTGTCTAGAACAACCCTGCTGTCGACCCTGTAACATCAAATCACTCGGTTATATTGGGGCCAACACCTGTGTAGTACAACCCTGCTGTTGACCCTGTAACATCAAATCACACTGTTACATTGGGGCCAACACCTGTGTAGGACAACCCTGCTGTCAACTCTGTAACATCAAAACACACAGTTACATAGGGGCCAACACCTGTGTAGTACAACCCTGCTGTCGACTCTGTAACATCAAATCACACTGTTATATTGGGGCTAACACCTGTGTGGGACAACTCTGCTGTCGACCCTGTAACATCAAATCACACTGTTATATTGGGGCCAACGCCTGTGTAGTACAACCCTGCTGTCAACTCTGTAACATCAAATCACACAGTTACATAGGGGCCAACACCTGTGTAGGACAACCCTGCTGTCGACCCTGTAACATCAAATCACACTGTTATATTGGGTCCAACACCTGTGTAGGACAATCCTGCTGTCGACTCTGTAACATCAAATCACACAGTTACATAGGGGCCCTGTGTAGTACAACCCTGCTGTCGACCCTGTAACATCAAATCACACTGTTACATTGGGGCCAACACCTGTGTAGTACAACCCTGCTGTCAACCCTGTAACATCAAATTACACTGTTACATTTGGGCCAACACCTGTGTAGTACACCCCTGCGGTCAACTCTGTAACATCAAATCACACAGTTACATTGGGGCCAACACCTGTGTAGTACAACCCTGCTGTCAACTCTGTAACATCAAATCACACTGTTATATTGGGGCCAACACCTGTGTAGGACAATCCTGCTATCGACCCTGTAACATCAAATCACACAGTTACATAGGGGCCAACACCTGTGTAGTACAACCCTGCTGTCAACTCTGTAACATCAAATTACACTGTTACATTTGGGCCAACACCTGTGTAGTACAACCCTGCGGTCAACTCTGTAACATCAAATCACACAGTTACATAGGGGCCAACACCTATGTAGGACAACCCTGCTGTCGACCCTGTAACATCAAATCACATTGTTATATTGGGGCCAACACCTGTGTAGGACAATCCTGCTATCGACCCTGTAACATCAAATCACACAGTTACATAGGGACCAACACCTGTGTAGTACAACCCTGCTGTCAACCCTGTCACATCAAATCACACTGTTATATTGGGGCCAACACCTGTGTAGTACAACCCTGCTGTCAACTCTGTAACATCAAATCACACAGTTACTTAGGGGCCAACACCGGTGTAGGACAACCCTGCTGTCGACCCTGTAACATCAAATCACATTGTTATATTGGGGCCAACACCTGTGTAGGACAACCCTGCTGTCGACCCTGTAACATCAAATCACACCGTTATATTGAACAAAGCTTTAAACTTCTTTGTGTACGATATATTCTCCAAAGTATTGGCATTGTAGAATATCTTCAAAAGCAAATGATTTGGATTTAAATCCTAATTCAAAGTAAACAGCAATTTTAGAAACCTTAAGTATAAAGTAATTACAGTCTAACCTCGTTATCTGAAATCCGACGGGTTCGTGGAAAAACGTTTTTTTTTAGTTATGCAGGTTCATAAATTTGGTATGAAATTTGCTGTTTGGACATAGCACTAGCAGTTGTTGATTTCATTAGAATGATATACGTAATCAATACATGTATAACAAATATAGTTATGTAATTTTACAATAAACACGCTTACAAAAATAGAGTAAATTGTTTCCGAAAAACGTACTTTCATTTAACGCGATCAAAACAGTCGGGCCATATTGTGAATTCATTATCAAATATGACCGGGCCTAGTTATTAAATTCTTGTTTTTGGCTAGTCTAGATCTTGGCAAAGTTTTTCCAGGTCTGCATTTGTTTTTGCAAGTCCATCAAGTTTTACTTTTAAAAAGGTTACATTTAAAAATTGAATTATCCCACTGTCTCCGACCTTGTACTATACCATACGGAAAAGCACACAAGTCTTAAACAAATCACTGTAATGGAGCGTACGCATAGTTGATTCTGTAAATGAAAACACACACAAACAGATTATATCGTACATGTAACAGATTGATTCAATAAAGCCAAATGTGACACCTGACACCTCAACTTGATGTAATCAACAGCAATTATCTTATTGTTCTTAAATTTCCCGATCGACTTTCAAAGCCATAATGGCTCCTGTAAAAACATGAACCTATGAAGCTGTCCCAGGTTGTGGTTTTAATTGTGGAACTCTGTTATGCATGACCACAATCTGTGACCAATTTTCAAGTTTGCACTGTCGTCTGTTTAGGTGTACAAATCATTAAACGGACTCGCAGTAAGTACAGAATACTGTTGATGAAGTTTATTTTTTATTATATAAACAACATGGTTTTGACAGTCTGCACACTTTACAGTCTGAAGCTTTATCGTAAATTCTTTTTACCGATTTCATGCTAGTCTACTCACGAAAGATGTTCATAAACACGGAATGGCGAGATGTCATACTTTTGCGTTTTATTTGTATCAAAGAATTATTAAGTGACAAAATGAAACTCAAACACTGTAACGATGTTTTGATGTTTGATTTCTACCACAATATGCTGTGTTATTCCACTCTCAGATCATTGTATAAACACACAGACTGTTAGATAAATATGAGTTATATACCACACGTGGTATATGACCTTCATGAGTTCTGATTGGTCGAGAAGATGCACTTTAACCAAGACGACTTTTTCCACACATTTTTTGCCACATGCTGTTTTGTTTACGTCGTCTGCTGTCAACATCCAACAAATGTTGGTGACTTTGTGAGGTTATGCGGTAAAGGGGGTTATTAAGGCAATATTAAAAGAAGATGATACTTAAAGATTTGATTGCTATTCCCAGGCAAAATTGCAATAGACGCTCGATATCATTTCGTCGTCACACCGTCGCATATCCAGGTCGTGAAACCAAAACAAGATCTGTCACAGTGTCGGGAAATATTTCGTTCTCCCAACGTCCCGTTATCGCTATTTGAACGGTCTGACTATGGCTGAACTTTCACTATAAACATCAACCATATAGAACCGTCACGAAGAAACGTAGGCCTATGGTTTTGGATATTGACAGCAATAAGTTAGTCTTCATCACTTGGGGAGAGGCAGACTTCGTACGATATGCTTACGCGCATATAGTCCGTGGTTAATTTATATAAATTAATGCAATACTGCTACTCTCAATATTTAAAGTCGTTCATCTATTATGTTTTTTCATTATGTTGTTGCTGAAACATTAATTTTGACAATTATTAAATTTGTAAAAAAAAAAAGAAGTCATTTTTGAATATTAATGAGTGACTTTTTACATATGGGTCATATCACTATGCCAGCCTTGTCAACAAACACGTGTGTGTATGTTATTTCCGACTGACCATGAGATTGTGGTAGAAACAGATCACACGAATCGTGGTTGTTGAGTATGGGATTTATTTCACTCTCGTTAGTTAATTTTCAAAAGTTACAGAAAGACACTCGCTGTAACTTTATAAAATTAACTAACTCGAGTAAAACAAATACCATATTCAACAACCCATCGTTGTGTAACCTCTATTTACGCTATTGAAACCAATATCTTACTTCGAGATATCCAAGTTTTTCAACTTTTAAGGGTTCGAATTATCAGAGTTTTATTTACTAAGATAAAGAAGAGATTTGGCCGGGACTGGAGAAATACTTCGGGATAAACGGGGTCTTTGAGTTAAAAGAGTTTGAGATAACAAGATTCAACTGTATATATGTTACGCACTTTGAGAAATTTAATGAACTCTTTGCCAAGATTGTGGTCAAGCTTGGTGGCGAAGCTGACATGAAGTATGATTGTGCCTTCGATATGGCGGACTGTTTCCTCATTATCATCTTCCATCAGATCCTCACTGCAACACAAAATGACAAACACGATAAAACTCAAGCTTACAATAAATATGATCTCTCTTACACAGTCATCGCATATTGTCAAGTTACACTGCAAGTCACTAAATAGGTGCATGTACCAACGAAAAATCTAATAAACATCTTGACTACAATAACAAGTAATATTACTCTCATTCTCGAGTCACATCTCATCTGCCACAAAGGTCCTTTCATTAAATAAAAATCAATTTCATTCTGCATTATTATTATATACAAACCTGAGTTCATTTGGTGATTTGCCCCGTAAGTGTTTGTCCTGTTCTATGAAAAAGTTTGTGATTCCTTCAATGACAAGACGCTGATGTCCCTGAATGAATTACAAAAGCATTTTTTTTTTAAATTTCAGACAAATTATTTTCTGTACATTATTTAAAATGTTTGATTCTGTTATGTACAACAACATCTCAAATAGCGAATTGTGAACTAGGATATTGGATATGGTTATTAACTCAACATACACTTCCATTCATTAACCAGAATATTTGCAGTCTTTGTTTACGAGCATTTTTCCCAATTTCTTATCAACACCTCAAAATAATTATCTATAATTTGGATTGGCTTTAGAATATTAAGGAAACCATCCATACTGAGAACAATTTATTACAAGTGGTTGACAGCTGGTATATTTATACATGTTAGAACCTTAACAAATAAGAGGAAAAACTGATACACCAGACCGGGTATGTTTATATATGAGTACCGTTACATATAAGAGGAGAAGCTGATACACCAGACCTGGTATGTTTATATATGTTAGTACAATTACAGATAAGAGGAGAAGCTGGTACACCAGACCTGGTATGTATATATATGTTGGTACCTTTACAGATAAAAGGAGAAGCTGATACACCAGAGCTGGTATGTATATATATGTTAATACCGTTACAGATAAGAGGGGAAGCTGATACACCAGACCTGGTATGTTTATATATGTTGGTACCTTTACAGATAAGAGGAGAAGCTGATACACCAGAGCTGGTATGTTTATATATGTTGGTACCTTTACAGATAAGAGGAGAGGCTGATACACCAGACCTGGTATGTTTATATATGTTAATACCGTTAAAGATAAGAGGAGAAGCTGATACACCAGACCTGGTATGTTTATATATGTTAGTACCTTTACAGATAAGAGGGGAAGCTGACACACCAGACCTGGTATGTTTATATAGGTTAATACCTTTACAGATAAGAGGAGAAGCTGATACACCAGACCTGGTATGTTTATATATGTTAGTACCTTAACAGATAAGAGGGGAAGCTGATACACCAGAGTTGGTATGTTTATATATGTTAGTACCTTTACAGATAAGAGGAGAAGCTCATACACCAGACCTGGTATGTTTATATATGTTAGTACCTTTACAGATAAGAGGAGAAGCTGATACACCAGACCTGGTATGTTTATATATATTGGTACCTTTAAAGATAAGAGGAGAAGCTGATACACCAGACCTGGTATGTTTACATATGTTAATACCTTTACAGATAAGAGGAGAAGGTGATACACCAGACCTGGTATGGTTATATATGTTAATACCTTTACAGATAAGAGGAGAAGGTGATACACCAGACCTGGTATGGTTATATATGTTAGGACCTTTACAGATAAGAGGAGAAGCTGATACCCCAGACCTGGTATGTTTATATATGTTAATACCTTTACAGATAAGAGGAGAAGGTGATACACCAGACCTGGTATGGTTATATATGTTAATACCTTTACAGATAAGAGGAGAAGGTGATACACCAGACCTGGTATGGTTATATATGTTAGGACCTTTACAGATAAGAGGAGAAGCTGATACCCCAGACCTGGTATGTATATATATGTTGGTACCTTTACAGATAAGAGGATAAGCTGATACACCAGATCTGGTATGTATATATATGTTGGTACCTTTACAGATAAGAGGAGAAGCTTATACACCAGACCTGGTATGTATATATATGTTGGTACCTTTACAGATAAGAGGAGAAGCTGATACACCAACCCTGGTATGTTTATATATGTTAATACCTTTACAGATAAGAGGAGAAGCTGGTACCCCAGACCTGGTATGTTTATATATGTTAGTACCTTTACAGATAAGAGGAGAAGCTGATACACCAGAGCTGGTAGATCAGCATGTTCTAGTTCTTTCAGCATTCTCAGCATCTTCTCCATTACAAACTTGAGCTCATCCAATGTCATGATGACATCTTTAAACATTCCCGCAAGGTGAATCACACTCTGAGCATTCCATCTGAATAAAAAAATAATGGGTGCATTATAGATGATTTTGTGAGGTATTACAACAAGGCAATCAGACACCTAGTTAAACCTCCAGACAATCAGACACCTAGTATAACCAGACAATCAGACACCTTATATAACCAGACAATCAGACACCTAGTTTAACCTCCAGACAATCAGACACCTAGTATAACCAGACAATCAGACCCCTAGTATAACCAAACAATCAGACACCTATTCTAACCAGGCAATCAGACACCTAGTATAACAAGGCAATCAGACACCTAGTATAACAAGGCAATCAGACACCTAGTATAACCAGACAATCAGACACCTAGTATAACAAGGCAATCAGACACCTAGTATAACCGGACAATCAGACACCTAGTATAACCAGGCGATCAGACACCTAGTATAACCAGACACCTAGTATAACCAGACAATCAGGCACCTAGTATTACCAGACAATCAGACCCCTAGTATAACAAGGCAATCAGACACATAGTATAACCAGGCGATCAGACACCTAGTATAACCAGGCAATCAGACACCTAGTATAACCAGGCGATCAGACACCTAGTATAACCAGATCATCAGACACCTAGTTTAACAGGGCAATCTGACACCTAGTATAACCAGGCAATCAGACACCTAGTATAACCAGACTATCAGACACCTAGTATAACCAGACAATCAGACACCTAGTATAACCAGACAATCAGACACCTTATATAACCAGGCAATCAGACACCTAGTATAACCAGGCAATCAGACACCAAGTTTAACCAGCCAATCAGACACCTAGTTTGACCAGACAATCAGAACCCTAGTATAACCAGACTATCAGACACCTAGTATAACCAGGCAATCAGACACCTAGTTTAACCAGACCATCAGACACCTAGTATAACCAGACAATCGGACACCTAGTATAACCAGACAATCAGACACCTAGTATAACCAGGCAATCAGACCCCTAGTATAACCAGACAATCAGACACCTAGTATAACAAGGCAATCAGACACCTAGTATAACCAGACAATCAGACACCTAGTTTAACAAGGCAATCAGACACATAGTTTGACCAGACAATCAGAACCCTAGTATAACCAGGCAATCAGACACCTAGTATAACCAGGCGATCAGACACCTAGTTTAACAAGGCAATCAGACACCTAGTTTAACCAGACAATCAGACCCCTAGTATAACCAGACAATCAGACACCTAGTATAACCAGACAATCAGACCCCTAGTATTACCAGGCAATCAGACACCTAGTTTAACCAGACAATCAGACACCTAGTATAACCAGGCAATCAGACACCTTATATAGCCAGAGGACTGACATAACAGGTCGGTGACTCATTCTTCCCAAGTAACAATTTCTCACCATGGCATATGCATCATGCAATTAAACACGGAAATTCCTATTTCATACAACACAAACTACAGAAGCTGTGTTTGTCTCTGTAACCACACATTTATATCAGTCAGCAAAGACAAAGACATGTGTGACCGGCAGGAATTGGGTGCCAGTCATTATACAAGGTTGAGCCAGGGAATGATAAATACCTGCAGGCACAGAGGCTGTTGAGGATATGACCTTTGAACTCCGTTCCACTCATACTGTTGTCTCCATAAATTACTGTTTCTTCATTTGCCAATGCTGATAAGAGTTTTGGCAGAAGCTCCAGTCCCCTGTAAGAACCAAAGATACTTTAGTTAAATGAAATAGATGAATCATCATTTGCATGCCACTCCTTTTTCTAGGAAATGGTTTAGTGTAAATCAGTTATGCTGATCTTAAAGAATAAGACATATTTACTTTTACAATGGAAACATTGTTATAATAGAGGATGCAAGCCTTTAGCTAACATGGAATTATAAATATTCTTGTGCCCCACCAATGACTGTTTACTTAGCCAAATTGAAAGCAAATCATACATGCTTGCAATCAACTTTAAGTAACTCCGTTTATAGTATATTTAAAGTACAGAGTAAATTCATTTAATTGCCACTAACATTTACACCCAAGAATGAATGAATTATTTGCCCTTGTTTATCTAATGTTTATTTGAATGAATGATGCACCATCTTTGATCCAAAACACATTTTGAAGAACCTGACCTTTGAACCCCAGAAAGAATGGGGTTCTTGGCCCAGGTAGTTTTAAATGAGTAGGCAAAAAGTGTTCAAGTTATGGTCCAAATTGCACTTTAAAGTACTGATTCATAGTGACCTAGATCCATACACTATATGAATGATAAGGTTTCTTGGCCTTCACGTAGGAAATGTACCACCTTTGTTGACCAGTTTACTTACTTTCCACATTGGGCCTGACCATTCTTGACCAAGTCAATAAACAAGCTGGACAACTCTGTCAGCGCTGTTCCTGGTAATCCATCCACCTGACATATTAACAGATAGCATGAATAGTTGATGAAGCAATAATTAGTCAATTTATAGTTTAATGTCTTTCTAAAATAGTCATTGCTGCCCAAGAGTACAGTGTTTATTTTGTAACAGAAAAAAATTATCTCTACACGTGTCTTCTTGTTTGATTATGGACCGACTTATAATGATGTACTGAGGGACTCTGGGGTTACCATACACGATTTATCGATTCATTGTTAGTTTAAAAAAAATCATAAAGCTGACTATAGATAGATACAGAAAACTTCAAAGAATTATTAGTGTAATCTTTCTAATCCAGATATGATGAGGATCACAGTTTATACAGGTCCCGGTCGTACCGAGTTAGTGATGTTTGGTAAATGAACTGGAACACTTGACAGGTCAGTAAGGGCCCCGTCATATAACAGGCAATCCCTTCAGTCTCTTTTTAGTAACAGTAACCTTGACCTTAAAAACTTATAAACCCCTATTGCACATTTACATATCCCAGTGTATTGAAAAGATCACTATGTCAAATTTCAAAAAGATTCCATTTCTGGATTCCGAGATTAGGACCATACCACAAAGGGTCTATTTTTAGTAACAGTGACCTTGATCCGAGACAAATCTTAACCCCTATTGTACATCTATATGTCACAGTCTATCACCATGTCAAATCTTAGAAAGATTATTCTTTTGGTTTCCCAGAAAATCTCTGGAAACGAAACTGTGGACGAACTACAGCAGACAGACACCATGATTACTATAGAGTAACCGCATTTCCGATGCAGGGCCCTAATTAACAGTTTCACTTTGATATAGAAAAAACTTGAACTTAATGTTGAATTATTTAAAAATTGAAGATATCTTATGTCGAGAAAACCACTTCTGCCAAAATATCTGACCAATAAAAATGGAAATATCACAATGAACAGGGTGAATCAACAAATCAACAATTTTTACTTCAAGATCTGTAAAACATTGCTGGTTTTCAGGAAAGACAGGGTGGACATATTATAATTTAGAAGAGGAAATGCAGTTCACCAATTATCAAAACTGGTATAGACAGAGATCCAGATTAGATGGGCTGATTTATACAGGTTATACTGTGACATCTTATCAAATAACATGACACGCATCTTGTTTCATTGCTTTTGAATATATATAGGTGTCTATCCTTTTAGTCTGAATAAAAGATCAAAGTCCTGAAAGGACTGAGAGTCTCATATTGTACACATAACAAATATTAATTAATGAGCTTTTAACAGAAATCTGATGGTACAAGCAAAACCTTTTATGATATTCAAAGTTCATACATTTTTAGGCTATTTATTTCGATGCTGTTTGGAAACACATATCTTATCTATGATCTTCAAATTTACATGTAAACAAGTACAAGGCCACATTGAAACAAACTTTTATATCCCATAGCAGAAAAAGTTGTCAAAAATCGAAAAACACGTTTTCCATCCACAAAACAGGTTTTAATGGAAACCATGTCAAATGTCCAACAGATTTATTACTTGGACTGTTGCCTATTTGCGGGTTCAAGTTAAAATTTTCAGCAACGTAATGTTGAAAAAATAGTTCCTTTTGGGTTAATCCCATAATCCTAATATAGAGTCGAAAAAATTGAAATCCTTACCTCCAACATGAGAAGCCCAACAACATTAGATGCATCTTTATTGCTCATCTCATTCCTCTCTAGAAGGTTAATACAGTGAGTGTACACTGACACACATTTCTTCACATTCCTCGGCTCTGTGGCAGAAATACCTGTCGGGAAATAAAAACTTCAAAATACTCCACGACTTCTATTTCATAAAATTACAGAAACATATGTTTACTTGCTTATAAGTCATTTTGTTATTAGTTCCCTTTTCAAAAAATGTTTGCCATTATTGTACAGTTAAGATATAATTCCAGTTAATTATCACTAAGATGTTAACCCTGTAGATTAACAAAATGTGAACAATTGTTTTTTGTTTTTTCCTCACCTTGTAAAATGGCTTGTAGTAAAGGCAAAACCTCTCCTTTCCCTCGAAGAGCTCTGTTTTCAACCATCTGATTAAGCTGTAAAAATATTGTTCCTTTTTCTTTAAGATTATTTTAATGTTCAATACAACATGTGCTACTGTACAGGTGTATATTTAACAAATTTGAGCTGTCCCAAATAGATTTTGGCTCACATTTATTGTGGTGTCATGGCCTACTTTATTTCTATTGAATCTTAAATTTTACGTGAGTAACCAAACTTCAGTGATTAAAAACGAGCAAAAACACATACAAAATCATCAATTCATTACTCACAAAGATTTACTAAACAACCCATGGCCAAATTCCAAAGGACTAAAACAAAATCTTGGCAGTATTTCATGTCATGTATATATACCCACCTCCTGGTTTGGAATTTCTTGCACAGTTTTTGCTAGCTCATTACTTTGACCATCTTCACATAGCTTGATTAATTTTTTCTCCATCTTTGAACTGAAAATCCAAGAGAAAAATAATACCTCCCAGTAAATGATTTACATACATGTAATTTGGGAAAGTTGAATTTGTATTTTGAACATGAAATAAATAAAAGTTTCCATCAGTACTCTGCATCCAAGCGGCCGCTTGACGGAGTTAGATAAATACTGAAAAAAAAAGACTTTTATTTGTTGAATGCATGTAATTTACAGAAAAATTTAATCATAACAAATGTTTTAATAGACTGGTGTAATCTTATTCGTTGGTTTTAATGAATATTTTTTTAGGTGTTTTTTGAGTGTATCTATTTATTTCGGGGCGAATGTTTTTGTATTTACTGAAAAGTAGTTTCTATGATAATGATCAGAACAGCATCCTCCATTAGTAATTTGAATGGGTGAGGTCGCAGAGCGCCTATAAACCTATTTCTGGACGGTCTGTCGTTGTTAATTAACAAACATATTAATTATAAGGTTACCAAGTGCACGCATACTGTAGCAGAACTGGACTGGGTTAATCGTCGGCAACCAGATAGCTCAATTGGTAGAGCATCCGTCTAACTTATAGAGTTCAGAAGGTCCCAGGTTTGAACGCCGGTCTCCTGGCCCTGTATTCTGTAATTATTTTATACTTCATGAGATCAGTGGCCGAGTGGGGAATACAGAAAGGAGCTAGGCCTTATAGGATAGAGGAGAGCTTCGAGGGTCCAGGGCTGGGGACTTAATTGGAAAAATATGTATTGATGAAAATCCCTATATGTTCGAGTTTGGGTGGTGAAAATCAGAAAATCCTTCAGATCACCATTGCATAGACCGAAAATTCTCTGATCAATGTTGTGCAAGTTAGGCTTGGCTATGCAGTGGCGGATCCAGAGGGTTTTTTTGGGCTTCAAGAACCCCCCCCCCCCTCCATGAGAACTTTCCTTAAAAATCCTGTATTATTTTCACCATTCCCCCCCACCCCCAGTTAGGTCTCTGGATCCGCCACTGCTTATATCAGTGGCCATGGGAATCGTCAGATTTCATTCGGCAACTGAAGCATTTGGAGACGTTGATCGTCCCATCGATTGTGAAAAAATAACGTAGGCCTACATATTAGGGAAACTATTAAAGTAGTACTTACATAAATAATCAGATTTATATGTTCATCAAATGAATCAATTAGGAATTTGTTTGTTAACTTACAAAACGTGTAGAATATTTGTTTTTTTTACGCCTGTCGAAAATGGCGCGCTATTTTGTCATTTCCGGGCTTTCCAGTCGTTAAACAAAAAGAAAGGAGTTAAACCGTAGTCTTAGCCAGCGCTAGGACTACAGTATGGTCATATGGTTGAGTTAGAGAAAACTTATTGACTAATTAGGCCTAACACGTTACCAGTCTTTTTGACGCAAACATGGCTTAGTTTGAATACTTACATATATCGAGACAATAAATTAATCGGTATTTGTGGTAATTGAAAACAAAGCAAAATTTGGAGAAACTTTAGACATGCTGCTCATTCTAGGGCTCAGACTGCAGATTTTACCACCGACAGGATGGAGCTAAATAGCCAATTAAAACCTCTCTCTTATGTGATCTCGGAAAACTATTTGTTTACATCCGGTTTACCGGTGGTCTCACACGGCATTTTTCTCAGAATATTCTGCTAGATTTTTAACTTATTTATTTTCACATTTTCTTATTGAATTTTTAAAATTAGGCCTATACATATATATTTTCACAGTTGACACTTTTTGTAAGTTAAGAATGACGTCTAAGAAGCGAAAACTTCCTGAATCATTTCCGGTGACAGAGTCGAATAAATTCTTACTTGGGTGTAAAATCTATATTTTGAAAGCAAGCATTGAAAAGATGAGGTTGCAGATATTCATTTCGCAACTTCAAAAATATGGCGGCATTCAACATGAACAATTGGAATCTGACACAACTCATTTGATTGTTGATGACAAAATGGAAGCTGACAGAATGTGCAGAATACTAAAAATAGATGAGCCACCAGAAAATATTGAAATACTGAAAACAAGTTGGTTAAGTTCTTGTTTTAAGACTAAAGACATGGTTCCAACTAAAGGATTTACATTGGATGTATCAGTTTTCGAAAAGAAAGATGTATTGGAAGTTAGCGATACAAAACCGTCCAAAGATGCAGATGCTGAGGGTAGTACATCTAGTGCAGATAGTGAAATGAAACGGGCGAAGGTCGGTGTTATGTTCCGTGCTAACAAGAAGCCGAAGGTTGAGTCTGAAGGTTGTAAAGATGACCCAGACAGTGATTACTCAGCGAGTGATAAGGAAGAGAACAATCGGCTACCTGGAAGTGAGAGTGATGGTCACACCTCAGCTAGCACAACTCCCCAGACCTCACCAAATAAAATTATACAGGTGAAGAATGTTGTTAGAAGGATCATAGTCTGATTCTTGGTAGTATTTGCAAAATTTACCTGTATATACCTGTGTTTCCACTTCTGGTTCTTCTTATTGTTTTGAAGGCTCCATCAATTTTGATGATTATGTCTTCGGTCCATGTGCTCAGAGGCGTGAAAGAGGGTGAATAGTTTTTTTGGATTTTTTGTGTGCAGTTATCACTGTCCTCAGTAAGATTTAATAAGATATCCGTAAGATATTAATATTTTCAATAAAACATTCAAAAGTAAAATATTTTGTATTCATTTTGTAGTGATTGCGATGCTGATGTGATGATTATGTGATTTTCGGTAGAGTGATTCCCCTTTGAACAAACGTTAAGTAAACGTTCTTGGAATCTAAATTTGTATTGATTTCTCTTTATTAATGATGATTAGCGAAGTTTGATCAAAACCAATATTACCAGAATCTTTTATTAATTACTTGGAATGGATATGACATTATTTCTGTATACATGTATGTTGTAGGATAGTTATTGATAAATGAATAAATGTGATGATTATGCAAATGACCTGGTACCTTGAGTTCCTGAAAATGGTTTCCACATATAAGCAGGGTTATGCCAGTGGTTTAGGGTTGGCTGTGTTAAACCTACAGAAGGTATCGAGTGGCATTCCATACAGCAGAAGAAGGTAAGAACACCTCTGCAAAATACTATACCAGAAACGCCTGCTAAGGCTACTCTGGTGGCTATTTTGTACGTTGTGTTCAGTGACAAGTACGGTACCGGTAAGTGAACGGCTTGGAGACGCCAGAAGCTCCTGCGTAAGGGGTCGCCTGAGAAGGCTACTCTGGTAATCCAAGCCCGCAGCTGATCTGGTACCGGTGTGCTGTGGTGGGGAGTGTGGAAGGTTACCTCGGGAGCTGCCAGGGATCAGCTCGGTGACAAGGTACCTCGGAGCTGCCAGGGATCAGCTCAGGGTCAGGGTACCTCGGAGCTGCCAGGGATCAGCTCGGTGACAGGGTACCTCGGAGCTGCCAGGGATCAGCTCAGGGTCAGGGTACCTCGGAGCTGCCAGGGATCAGCTCAGGGACAGGGTACCTCGGAGCTGTCAGGGATCAGCTCGGTGACAGGGTGCCTCGGAGCTACCCGGGATCGGCTAGGTGGCAGGCGTATATCGGGACTGTTAGCGGGTAGCAAGGCCATACCTGGAGCTAGGAGTGTCAGCATTCCGATTTGCTGGTTGTCGTGTGGTTGGAGAGGTTGTGTACGTCCAGGCGACGTGTGTCGTGGTTCGACAGCACGGGTTGATAGGACAGAGGTACTGTCCTGGCCCACAATTGTCTTCATTTGTAAATATAGTTGATATTTTTAAGTGTTATTGTTCAACTGCTCGGCCAGGTAGCCGAGGATCCCAATCGCTTCTAGAGCAGGTAGCTCGGTCATAATTGAGATTCACACGGTGCACAAACGCTACCAGGGGTTGCACGTTACACTGATATGACATTTGATAAAATATTTAATTTTGTAATAATTTTGTAAACACATTATAAAATATTAAAGGGGCTGGTCGGGGGAAAAAATACAAAATAAGTGGGTCTAAATGCGTTCGCTGCCCTTTCAAAAGTTATACCACGGTAATATGATGGTCGAAATCTGCTTACAATGTCCAGTTTTGACCACTGAAATCTCGGGGAAGCCCCGCGTAAATTTAGTGCAGATCTATTTATATATGTCACGTGGTTGTTTCGAAAGTGAGGCAGTGAAGATAACAACAATAGCACGCCGTCATGTACCATGTCGGACTCAACTAGCGGACAAGACAGCAATACTATACGTAAATAATTGTTTTCAAAGGTCATGTATGATGCGAGTGTAGTATTCCTACCTATATGTTGTTGTTATATATAACGGTATTGATACCTCGTGCCTGTCATGACTTTTGCATGCATCTTTTTCTTTCGCCGCGATGTTTACATTTGGCCTTGTTGATGACGCGCGTNACAGCAATACTATACGTAAATAATTGTTTTCAAAGGTCATGTATGATGCGAGTGTAGTATTCCTACCTATATGTTGTTGTTATATATAACGGTATTGATACCTCGTGCCTGTCATGACTTTTGCATGCATCTTTTTCTTTCGCCGCAATGTTTACATTTGGCCTTATTGATGACGCGCGTTCGGTAAAATTACATCACTGATCTGGGTCAATTGAGAGTTTTAGACTGTCAGGTGACGATTTAGGATTTCTATAATATAATTATATTTTTTACTCTTATGGAGTGAATTTCAGCAAAATTTGAATCGGTATATTTCATAAGAAGGTATTTCAAATATGTGTATGCCATGTTAGCAAATATGACATTTTTTCCCCGACTAGCCCCTTTAATATAAAATAGTTTTTTTTAGCAATATCTTTATTGTTGTATCTTTTTTAATGATATGCCTAAAATACCAAGTAAGAATTTTATAAAAAAGCTTGTCTTTATTTGACAGAACTTAATCATTATAAAACATAAATAAGAATTCCATGATCTTTTTTTTAGCAATGATCATATCATGTTTGGGTGATGCTGATTGATACTGTTTATTGATCTTTTTTATTTAATGATGTCTATTTAACAGATTATAAGTCCAATTCCACATATATGAAAAAGATAGAAGAACTAGATTTAAATTTATTTATCCAAGAACCTGATTGATACTGTAATAGGAAAAGACTAGGACTCGAACCCAGAACCCAGACTGTCACTCCATATAAATATCCATGATTGTAATGCTTTAGTGATTATTGCTGTTTTTTGTCTTTCAGACTTCAAGTTGGATTTGTGCACAGTCTTCCAAAAACACACTTCCAAACCTCAACAAGCATATAACAGACAAACTGGAGGTACAACAAACCAGTGATGTGAAAAAACAAATTTAACATCAAAGCAATGCAAACAATTATGAAGAAATTACTGATACATACTATACTTGTTTTAGCATTAATACCATATGTTATTCATTTATCCTACAATAAGCCTATGCTTGGTAATAAGCCCACTCATATAAGTATTGCAGTATGGTACGGATATGCCAATAAATACAATTTCGAATTCACTTTCCAGTGAAAAATCCACCCCTACTTGGAGTTAAAGGTGATGTATTGCCCCCCCCCCCCTCTTCAATTCATGTATTGAAAGAAATAATCATTAAAATATTGGCCCTATTTTGTCTAATGACTTTTTTTACATTACAAAGCTTAATTATAAACATTTATTATTATTAATAAATTCATTGTTAAATTAACAGTTTTCTTCGCCAACTTATATGAGAATGAATTTAAGAGAGGATTTATCAAATATTTCAGGAAATGGTGAAGACGTATGAGAGCACCAGTGACAAGTGGAGAGCTTATGGCTATCAGAAGGCAATCCAAGCTCTACGTAAGCTACCTAAACCCATCTCTTCTTGGCAGGTAATTACAAATCAGCTTACTGCTGAAAACTCTAATATAATGATTAACACCTTGAGTTGAGAGAACAAGTTATTAGGGAAAGTGGTTAAGTGTATACATCACAGGTTTTATTGTCAGTTATCTCCCTTAGACTATATTGAATACTTCAAAGATGCACCACTAGCTGCTCTGTTATTAAAAAACAAAAATATTTTAATCTAATTGCATTCTTTCATAATACTCTGTAACTGTTACTACACTTAACCAATGTTGCCATACAGGAATTATACAGCATCAGAATAAGTGTCTAATTTATGGGCAACAAAATATATGAAAAGCTTTACAGGGAAAGTTACTATTACCCCCAAAAACTCCTGTTTGGTACCCTTTACATTAAGGTTTCTTTCTCTTCTTACTCAATACCCATGCCATGTTGCTCACAAAATCATCAAAACTTTACATTTGATTCACTTTTGATTCCTTCAGATTAGATTTAAGATTAGGCCAAAAAGAAAATAAATATATATGTTTCAGGTAGCCTGACCGACCCTAGTTTTTACCTCTGTTCCTAACAAATTTATCTCACTTGAATTCACTTAAAGGCCCCATTCCAAAGTGCCGAAAAATAGTAAGTGTTTTTATGACACATATCTATTTTATAGGCAGGTATCAAAACCAAATTTAAATCCATTATTTTTTAAAAGACCTAAAAATATAATAAAAATGACTACAATTGGTCTGAATAACAATGCTTGTTGATTTGTGTTATTTCTAAATTAGCCTCCTCTCAAAATGAAAAAGGAAATTTGTACGGTCATACCCTATTTTTTTTTGTCTTGTTTCCTGAAGCATACATTTTTTGTTTGGCCTAAGCTTGAACCACTCACCAAAATATTTTGATACAAAATCCTTTACCATTTACAATGTATCAGACTAAACAAGCAAAGGGTAATAATGTCTGCCAAAGTATCTTAAAGATGTTCACATCAGATATCTGTTATAATGTTAAGGCGGTAACAGAGCCTGTATGTAATGATAAGACTGCTAGTAATTATCTTAATGAAGGTATTAGCTCTGAAATACCTTCACGATAATCCACATTTACCAACCGGTCACATTTTCAATTGGAAAAAACTTTGCCAAATCTAAAAAGCAGGAAAAGTGCTCACGTTTACTTATTTTGGGGTATTTTGCCACTATGATTGTACTTCTAAGGAATTGATTTGATATATCTCAAACTTCGATTTTTTTTCCAGGAAGCGAAAGCTCTTCCTGGTGTTGGAACTCGACTAGCTGACAAAATCTGGGAAATTGCTGAAAGTGGTGAATTACGAAAACTTAATGAATTTCGATCAAGTGATGAGGTCAGAGTGATGGAGATGTTTGGAAATGTGTGGGGAGCAGGTGCCCACACAAGTCGAACCTGGTATCAACAGGTAAGGTTTATCACATCATCAGCAATACATTTATTGGACCTGTTTCTGTGCTTTACCTGTTTCTGTGCCATGACCTTTGTGGAACACAAATTGTCAATATCATTGCAATTTGTTTTTGAGTAGTGAAAATATACACGTAGGCTCATGTCTGCAATGACCTTAGAGAAAATAAGAAAGAAAAAAATAGGTACAGGTAAGTACTATTTTGCACAAATACTCGTAGAAAATTAGCTTTTCTACTACCTTTTTATTTGGTTAGAAAACATTAGAAGTATACCTGAGAAAATGAAATATTGAAATAATATTTATATGCCACAACTCATAATTGTCTGCTTAACGAAGTCATGTGACTGTTACTATAGTATGTTGATTTCTGATTGATTAATGTCTATGTAATGTCAGACTTTGTCTATATGGGCCTCCTGTTTATCAAGACAGAGCGTGATGTATTATTTTATTGATTTAGTGGTGAAACTACAACACATATTTGCCACAATACCAATTTATTCAGGATAATTGTTTTGTGATATTGCAGGGTTTTCGTACACTTGACGACCTCAGAACAAAAGCCAATCTTACTCACCAACAAAAGATTGGCTTGAAGCACTATGCTGACATCCTTGACAGGATGCCATGGTCAGAAGCTGGGGAGATTGAAGCAGTTGTAAGTTTCTTAAAGGTCAATTGTATGGTTTCTCACAGGTGATATTTGACAAGACGGCTTCTTTCAAGGCCAAAGTATTTTTTTTTTTATTTTTTTTACAGCTGAACAAGCTTAAGATGAAAAGCTGATTTCAGCATTTTACAACAAGTACATTTAATGTGTTCTTTCTTTGTTGTATAAATTTCACTGGGAACTTCATTTATCAAGTCTCACAATGACTAATTGAAGCTTTTGTTACCTTTTGAATGTAAAAGAGAATATTTTATTTGTATTGGATCTTCTGTTTACATGTTGTCTGGGCTATGACTTTTAAACTGTTGAAGATATCATGATGAAACATAATGTATACTTGCATCACCTCCAGATGAGAAGGTGTTCAGTGCACGGTGTTTACGTCACTATGACTTTCACCTCTAGGTCAAAGGTCAAATATCTTTTTCAGTATAATTGCTGTAATATAAAAAAACATTAAAGTCATATGTATTGATGAAATTTATTGTACACATGGAGAATGTGTGCATGTCACTGTATTTAGCTGACCTGTGACCTTCAGGTTTAAGTTAAAGGTCAAATAAGTGCAAAGCTATATTTAACTTTTTTTTTTTTACGAAAACAAATTCCATGTGTTACATGTGTATTTTACTAGTTATTACTTTTTTCATCAGGTACGGACAGCTGCTGAATCGCTGCTGCCAGGTGTGATATCACAGGCCTGTGGGTCGTACAGGCGCAAGAAGGCAACATGTGGGGATGTGGATGTTTTAGTTACACATCCAGATGGCAAATCTCATCGTGGTATTTTTGGGAAACTTCTCAATAAACTTCGAGAAGAAGGTACGTGATTGTTTACTTAACATGAAGAAGCAAGAAAACCGTATCTCGGTTGGAACCATCATGTAGGATACAAGTGTCTCCTTACATGACTACTCTGGGTAACCTCTAGCTTGGGAACTACAAACTAAATAAGTCTTGTGTCAGATCTTCACAACCCCCTTAAAAGTACCGGTAATTTCTTTGAAAACATTTTTTTGGCAGATTTTTCTTATTTGGAACCCTCTAAAACACTTCCAGATCAATATACGTCATCTGTTGTCCGTCATAAGTCATTTGTCACTTCATATTTAGCAACATCTTGTCAGGTTTCACTTGAAACAACTAAATTTGGTAGTAACCCTAGCTACTATATATTAGATTTGCAAAAGAAATGGGGATGACCCCTTTGGAAACCCATCAGAGGCAAAAGGCAGGAAAATCAAATTCTTGTCATGAACCAAGAGTACTAGTTCTATAAGGTTTGCAAAGGAAAACAATGATTGTCAAAACATTGGGTAACTAAGGAACCCTTTGTGATACATTGTGCAGTATTATAATGTTGATATGCTCAAACGTCTTCTTTTGATAAACAGAGAGACCCAGACTCGTAATGTTTGGCCAGCAATAAGCTAGCATGAAGTGCTACAATGGTTGAAAAATGAAATGATATTCACTTGTACAGTAAAATTTGGATGTCAAAGTCCTTGCGACGAATACAAATATTTGACTTATCCGAAGGTTCGACTCAACCGAGTTGTATAGTGTAGGAGCACTAGTATGACCTAGCTTAGATGTATTCTGTTAACTGTTAGAGTATCATTAGAATGATTACAATCAGTAAATCATCGGGTAATCATCATGTTTCCTGCAGTGAAATAAATACTAAGATTTTATAGCAGTTTAATTTTATTGCTGATAATAGTTCCAAACATCAACAAATTACATACGTGTAGATATATTATTGTTCTTGTTCAAAGCGCATCTGCAACATAATTGCTAACAATGTGCATTAATACACACATAAAAAATAAGATATGTAGTCACTGTACTCATTTATCGCGAAATACATAAACAGTCCTATTAAACAGCATCCACCAGAAGGCATTAAATACATTTTACAGCAAGATTACTTTCATATAATTATAAATATTTGCATTAATATCATGATTATACATTCCCATTATTTATCGAACTGCAAGTCAATTTACAGGTAAAAGTGACATATATGGGTAACAGTGTGATATTTGTATTTATCATATGAATACCATGTTATGCAGTGTCATAAAGCCATCACATAAATTATGTTGATGTAACGTACGTTTGTAATATCACTCCAGAAATGCCATCACAATAGGAACAATCAATGTGATGTCACATCATTGTGAAGCGGACGCAATATTTTCATCGTTTCAGAGATGGCCTTGTGCAAAATACTTCGTTTGGGGGACTTAATAATAAGAAACGGAGTAAAACCAATGAGTCCCCCACTTCGTTTGGGGGACTTAATAATAAGAAACGGAGTAAAACCAAGAAGTCCCCCACTTCGTTTGGGGACTTAATAATAAGAAACGGAGTAAAACCAATAAGTCCCCCACTTCGTTTGGGGGACTAATTCAATTTTAGGTTTTATTAATCAAACTTGTTATTGTTCAAATCATGGAAACTCTGAAGTCTGCTGTTGTACACCTGTGTAAACAAGAAATTGGACAGTCCATCGATTGTGATACATTATGATGCACGGGTGAATAACAATAGTTATTGGTTGAAGGGGACCTTGCCATTCGCGTCGAAATGAGCCAATTCATTTGAGTCTTATTGGCTTGTTTGAATATTCGACTTAAGTGGAGGAAAGTTTAGTATGTAGATTGTTAAGGTAAAGACTGACATGTATACTTAACACAACAACCATATTGGACTGTACAGTGTTCAAGACACTCATGCTTAATTTACTAATATAAAGAGGCAGAAACATCGGGACCGAGTGAAACATTCAAGTCCTCCACTGTTGTTGATTTCAGCATGTTCGACACAAACAAGGTTTTTTTTCAAGAAAAGGCCATAACTCCTTTTTAAAGGGTCGGAATGAAAACATACTTCTTGGATGCACAATGTCAGGGGGCAGTTACCATATCTGTAAACTTCCATTGAAATTGGCCCCATAGTTTTGGAGGAGTTGTCTGGACAAGTGCTTTTCAACAAAGGGCCATAACTTTGAGGGAAAAAAAGGTCAGAAGGAAAAAATTATACCTGGATGTCAGGTGTCAGTTACCATATCTGGAAACTTTCGTTGAAATTGGTCCACTACTTTAGAATGAGTTGACAGATAGACGGATAGACAAGCTGATTCCAGTATACCCCTACCCCCTCCACCCCCACCCCTACCCCTAACTTTGTTACGGGGGTATAATAAAGTGTATAATAGTTTTGTTATTAAGATTATTTTATTTATTTTTAGACAATTGCATAGCTTTGTCTATAACACAATCTCAAACCTAAAGTAGTTCTCAAGAGGAAAGATTACTATCACAGAATACATATTCATGAGTTATTACTGCTGCACATAACTTGAAAACATGCCTAACATAATAAAGTGTTTTAGTATGATACAAAACAATAAATGTATCAGTATTTATCATAATAAACATCGATAATCAAATCTTCAAGGTTATATGAAATTGGGCATTGATCATGTTTGGCATGCTAAAAAAGTACTTTACCGGTTTTGATATTGTACATAAAAATGATTGTGTAGACAGAATAAATATATAGGAAGTTTTTGAAGAAGTTTAAAATATAGACTACCATTGTAACTATATATAGGCAAGTTGACAATGTTAGTTTTATTTTAAATTTTGTGAAAATTTTGCATGTTTTTCCAATTAAAAGTATCACTATGCTTACTTCATGTCTACCAATATGACATATTTAGTATCAAAATAACAGTAATTTTATACACTATACGCTCTCATAGTTCATTTCCAATTGAACATTTGCCTGTGATATTTATCGGTCATTTTGTTAGGATACCCCCGTCACTCAACCTGGTGTTATGCAAGGAGGTCCACTACGGTTATCAGTAACAATTATGAATAATCATTTATGCAGTTATTGATCATTTTTATATATCTACATATTGCAAAAGAATAAAGGAAATCAAAGTGGGGGCCAAATGTTGACCCCACCTTTGTTCAAATGAATGACCTTCGCCCATATTCAAGGTCACAGTGGTCAATATATGTTTAAATCTTTAAATGACTTGTTCTGTATAACCAAAAGGTCCAGGGTAATGATATTTCGCAGAAGCATGCTGGGTTGGAAGACAATAAACTCTGTTCAAGCTAATGTCCTTGTTCGACATTTAAGGTCACATGTGTCATATGTTTAAATCTTTTATTAGGTTCTTATGAATCAAACACTGATATTCTGCCTGTAGCTGTATTTTAGTCCACTTTTAAGATTACAAGTGTGAGATTAATATCAGGTGAGCGATTCAGGCCCATTGGGCCTCTTTTTAAAAAATCCTGAAGTCTTGATATGTTGCTGGTAGCTTGCTGACATGAAGAGATACAAAGTTTGTGAAAAGAATTAACATTGACCTATATTCAAGCTCAGGAGTGACAAATTTGATATTTGGCCAGTAACTAGCTGGCATGGTAGAAATTTGGCTATATTTAGTGTTGCATTTGTATTTACAGTATTGTGTTTTTACCAATATTTTGGTAACAGATAGGCATATAAGAGTCAATAATAATGTAGATTTGTGGGATAAAGAAATTCAAATAGATACATGTAGTAATATCCTTCCAATAGCGATAAAAACATGAAATGATAGACTCTGTTAGTCTCACCTGAGGATTTTGTTGTCTCACCTGAGGATATGCTAATTGAGCTTTAGTAAACATTTTTACTTGTCATTTTATTATTCAGATTAAAGGCATATAGGTGTAAACAATATTGTTAGTTTCTGAACATGTGCAGAGAGAGCAGGTGTCTGAATCGTAATTTAACAGCACTGTTTATCTCACTTATTGAAAATGTTTGTCATCAAAGTTGTTTACTATTTTGTATTACCTTGATTGTTTATTACACAAACAGTTGATATGAACAAATCATGTGAAAGAAGTGTTCAGAGTTAGTTTTATTGGATTAAATTTCATCTTAAATGTATTATGACATATTATGATTGGATGGATATAATAACCAAGGTAACCATGCAGAAGAGTATGATGGACTATGGATTATAGGGATACCAATGTCATTGTAAATTTCTGATGTGTGGTTCTTTAACTATCAGTAGTCTGTGACGTGTAGTTCTTTAACTGTCAAAAGTCTGTGACGTGTAGTTCTTTAACTGTCAGAAGTCTGTGACGTGTAGTTCATTAAATGTCAGAAGTCTGTGAGGTGTTGTTCTTTAACTGTCAAAAGTCTGTGAAGTGTAGTTATTTAACTGCCAGAAGTCTGTGACGTGTGGTTCTGTAACTGTCAGAGGTCTGTGATGGTGGTTCTGTTGATGTCAGAAGTCTGTGATGTGTAGTTCTGTAGATGTTAGAAGTTTGTGATTTGTGGTTCTGTAACTGTCAGAAGTTTGTGATGTGTGGTTCTGTAGATGTCCGAAGATTGTGACGTGTGGTTCTGTAACTGTCAGAAGTCTGTGACGTGTGGTTCTGTAACTGTCAGAAGTCTTGTAGTTCTGTAACTATCAGAAGTCTGTGATGTGTGGTTCTGTAGATGTCAGAAGTCTGTGATGTATAGCTTGTAGATGTCAGAAGTCTGTGACGGGTGGTTCTGTAACTGTCCGAAGTCTGTGATGTGTGGCTCGTAGAAGTCAGAAGTCGGGGACGGGTGGTTCTGTAACTGTCCGAAGTCTGTGATGTGTGGTTCTGTAACTGTCAGAAGTCTGTAGTCTGTGATGTGTGGCTTGTAGAAGTCAGAAGTCGGTGACGTGTGGTTCTGTAACTGTCAGAAGTCTGTGACGTGTGGTTCTGTAACTGTCCTAAGTCTGTGATGTGTGGTTCTGTAGATGTCAGAA